TAATAGGGAAAGTAAAATTAGAAGACATTATTGAAAGCTGGCGCCAAGGTTAAGAGTGAAGATGGGTGAGTGACAAGGAGAAAACCACTTCACAGGCACTCCGCTTCACACTTACGAAGTGATAAGGGGAGGAAGAATGGAGAAGGTTAAGATTCATTTGTAAGTAAGTCTATGTGTGTACGCATACGCACACACGCACACTCGAGAGAGAGAGAGAGAGAGAGAGAGAGAGAGAGAGAGAGAGAGAGAGAGAGAGAGAGAGAGAGAGAGAGAGAGAAGAGAGAGAGAGAGAGAGAGAGAGAGAGAGAGAGAGAGAGAGAGAGAGAGAGAGAGAGAGAGAGAGAGAGAGAGAGAGAGAGAGAAGAGAGAGAGAGAGAGAGAGAGAGAGAGAGAGAGAGAGAGAGAGAGAGAGAGAGAGAGAGAGAGAGAGAGAGAGAGAGAGAAAGAGACAGACAGAGAGACAGAGAGAGAGAGACAGAGAGAAGAGAGAGAGAGAAGAGAGAGAGAGAGAGAGAGAGAGAGAGAGAGAGAAGAGAGAGAGAGAGAGAGAGAGAGAGAGAGAGAGAGAGAGAGAGAGAGAGAGAAGAGAGAGAGAGAGAGAGAGAGAGAGAGAGAGAGAGAGAGAGAGAGAGAGAGAGAGAGAGAGAGAGAGAGGAGAGAGAGAGAAAGAAGAAAGAGAAAGAGAGAGGGTCAGAATCACCCAGAAAGGCATAAGGCAGAAGTTTATATATGAATATGCATCCCCACAGATGCATGAACCGTTCTATAGACGAATAATTATACAAACAAACGTGCATAGAGGGCGAGAGGGAGAGGCAGTTGAGCCGGACTCACACTAGGTAGGATTTCCTGCTAATGACGAAGCGCATAAGGTGAGGTTCGTCCACCGCCAAGTCACGATCAGTGCAAATTTCATCTAATATCACACTGATATTTTATTTGCCAAATGATGAAAATCAGTTATCGAAAACAAGCATCAAGATCAGTTATCAAAATCATCCTCATTAATCATTATTAGTAAATTAGGAGACCCTAGCTTTGAAAAAATAAAAATAAATAAATAACACAACCCGAGTTTAATGTGGGAAAAATGGATGCAGCGTGACGTCACACCTAAGGATCTGTGAGAGATTTGTTGTCTGCGATTGTATAACGAATCTATATGAACAGCTAATGTATGCATAACCCGGAAGTAGCATTCTATACCCTACGTGGGTACAGACTGGGTTATAACTTGGCTCTCATCTTGAGTTACTCTCTTCTTTTTCTTCTTGTGTATTTAATGTGGCGACTGTATGCACACGACTAAGTATGAGCACTACACATATTTGCTTCATACAGAATTTCACAAACTGCACCTAAAGCACACAATTGCGGGTTCGACATAAGCAGCAACTCTTGAAGAGAGCAACGGTCTTAAATACATTTTGTAAAGGCACTCTTCAGACACATATGTTTCGGCTGATCTCTCACGATCTCGGCAAAGTAGATTTGTTTTGAATATTACCATGGGCGTGATTTCACATTGCCATGGGCGGGGCAACAAGCCATGTCCGGGAGGCCGCCCAACCCACCCCTAAGAAGCCTCGAACAGAACTAGCCTAAATATATTCAGAGACTTTTTGAGGTCTTCATATTTTGCACTAGTCCACATCAACCGTTTAATCACACTGGTCAATTTGTATTGTTGGCGAGTTGTTCAAGTAGTCTCGGTGTGTTCCATTCCCATGTCAATAGCCTATGCTATCTGTAATGCACTGTAAGACCTGACAAAAATGGTTAAATCTGAAAGTTAAAAAAAATAAATGAATAAATAAACAAAATAATCAAAATCTCAAATCTCCTGTCAAGATTGAAACGTTTTAGAGAGCCTATATTCATCCTTTTATTGATTCTAAAAATAAGCTTTTGTAACTAGGTGATAGCTTGTTAAGTGGAAGCTTAACCAGTGACGCTCAATTTGCTATTGGTATGGTTTATAACCGCTCAAAGTGAATTTACGTAAAATATTAACATCTAATGAGTCGAATAAGCAAAATAAGAAAAAAATTGGTCATCATTTTACATCATCTTTACTTCCTCTTCTTTACGAGGCAGTTATTTTCAGTTAAAGCTTATCGTAATAATAATGGAAATATATAGATGATGTGTTATAAATAACTCACTATAATCCTTCGTTGATTTCGAGCAAAACGGAAAAACGTTGTGTTTAGCTGATTCTAGAAGTTCCCTTGGAATGAGATATCGAAAATAATATAAATACTGACAAAATGCGTCTCTCATTTATTCGTTTTTCATTTGGATTCTTGGACGAGAATTTGGAAGAGTGATGAAACGAGAGAGAGAGAGAGAGAGAGAGAGAGAGAGAGAGAGAGAGAGAGAGAGAGAGAGAGAGAGAGAGAGAGAGAGAGAGAGAGAGAGAGAGAGAGAGCAAGCAGAAGTGACAAACTATACAACGCAAACCGGATATATTCCTTTAAAAGCGTGAGACTGTGATGCACTTTTCAACTTGCTCACACATACATCCTTTTCACTCCTTCTGTAAACCGGAAACCACAAGTAATGACCAATATATATATATAATATATATATATATATATATATATATATATATATATATATACATATACATACATACATATATATTTATTTTTCATATGTATGTATGTATATACGTATGTAGGTAGGTGGGTCGGTAGGTAGGTACAGGTATAGGTGTAGCTGTAGGTATAGTTATAGTCATAGTTACTGTTATAGTTATAGTTATAGGTATACGCATATGCATATCTGTATGTCTATCTGAACGTGTAAGTGTGTGTGTATGTGCGCCAAAAGAAATACCTTAATTTTGCTGCTGCTGCCGGAGTTGCCCATCTTCGGTGCCCACGAAACTGCCCCTTAGCGACCGTCTTCCACACTCAGGGCTTCCACCTCATCCACCACGCTCGCTCCACCGGCACGCGCATAGGCCGAGTGGGTAGTTCATCCACCTGAAACAGTGGATCGGCGTCAGAGTGGAATGATATGTTGGTTAAAGCTCCACATTCAGCAGAGGGTTATCAATAATGTGTGGTGTGGATAGGTCGTTTATCCACCTGAAACTGTAGCCTGGGTTTAGTGTGGAGTGTAAGTCGTTCCTCCACTTGATATGGGTTGGTATGGAGTGGTATGGGTTGGTATGGTTTGCCAAATGATGAAATGATGGTTTGGTATGGGTTAGTATGGGTTGGTAAGTTTGGTATAGGTTGGTATGGATTGGTATCGTTTGGTATGGGTAGATATGGATTGGTAAGAGTTGGTATGTATGGGTAGTTGTGGGTAGTTGTCCGTATGGGTAGTTGTGGGTAAGCATGGATTAGCATAGGTTGGTATGGGTTTGTAAAAGTTGGTATGGAATGGTATATGTGGTGAGCGTGGGATGGTATCTGTGGTGAATGTGGGCAGGGGCGTCGACAAAGTGCTTGAAAGGGGCGGGGCTTCTCGGCCTACGGGTAGAGAGTAGGGAGGTGTGGGGGGGGGAGGGGAGGATTACCTAAAAGAGGAGATGAAAGGAAACTTTATATTTGGCCTATTTTCTCTCTTTTTAAAATCCCTTATAGACCACGTAATCGGTTTTTATCTTCGTGTAAGAGAAAGTTGTGTTCCTGAGGTAGAAAATTTAATTGGAGATTTTAGAGAATAAAAACCTGTAGCTTCGGTTTATAGGCCTACATAGTAGGAGTTTGAGTCACTAACCCTGGGGGGAAAGACTGGGGAGGGGGGAGGGACAGAGGGAGGAGAGGGGGATGGAAAGGAGGGAGAAAGGGATGGGGTGGGATAGAAAGAGCGAGGGAGGAGAGAAAGAGGGTGGAAGGGAAAGAGAGAGAGTGGAGGGGCAGAGAGGGGGGGGGGGGGCAGAGAGGGGGGGGATAAGAAGAGGGAGAGAAGGAGGGTGGAGTAGAAAGAGGGAGGAAACGCAAGAGGACCAAAAGAATGAAGGAGGGATGAGAGAGGGATAGGAGAGAAGAGGGAGAACAGGGATGGGCGGGAACAAGCAAGGAAGGAGGGAGAGAGGGAAGGGGAGGGGCAGACGGAGACGGATGAGAAAGAGGAAAAAATGCATAAAAGGAGAGGGGCGGAAAGGAAGTAACAGAGAAGAGAGAGGAATAGACCACGGGAATAGAGAGAAAGAGAGGGGAGAGGCATGGAAGGAGAGAAAGATGGACAGAAAGAGAGAGAGGGACGGGAGAGGGACAGAAAGAGGAAGGAGAGGATTAGAGAGGAGAAACGAGGAGCAGGTACATTTCCCACGCTAGGGCAGGTTCCTTCACGCAGGTTCCTTTAGAAACTCTTAAGGGGCACTAAGGTTACATTGCCTTTCCGTGAATCATATATATATTGGGATTAAAGGTTCGACTTTCGTATTAATATATGTAAGAAAACAGTTCATTTCTCTGATCTCATTCGTGTTTCTTATAAGAGATTCTTTCTTGGTGAGTAACTTCGAACATAACGTAACACTGAGTAACGTCTTTGGAGGTTGCTTTATTGCCAAGGGTCAAACAGGTGCTTTTTCACACGCCACAACACATCACACAAAGATTTCGGGATTGCAACAACATCTCTCAACATCTCTATGTTTCCCGTCACTGTACACACTACACAGAAAAATAATTTACACAATAAGCACATTTCATTCTTTTGGGGTATTTTTTTTACGTCATACCACCAGTCTGGAAATCCCGACAAGGAGTTTCCTATTCACACCAAACGTTCTTACTCTGCAGCAACAAAACACTTAACGTTTACATGACGTACCAACACTACGATCACAACATCAATGGCAAAGTAGTAAGTGGTAATGAGGAAGGTCAAGACGAAAGACTGACGTTTTAAAAGGCTAAAATCACTCCATTGGCCTGCGAAGAACAGCTGGCTGTGAGAACGGCGAACCACTGACTCCCGACACAACAAGGCAGACCGTGCTCACACTTCCGCGCTTTCAACTCGACTACGTCCTT